ATAATAATTGCTTTTATATAGCTTGTATCCATGCTCTACAACATGCTCTATGCACTTTACAACTCTTACGGGGAGAAAAATGGATGTCTAGACAGAAGAATGTCTTTAAAAAGTGTCATTATAACACAGAAAAACAATGTAAAGGGAAAGTGGGAAGTGGTTGTTTGGACACATGATTGTCTTGGACAGTTGGCTGTTAGAGCAGATTCACTGTATTTTGTACTGTGAACCTAAAGTGCGAATTGCGATGTAAATGTAACACATGAATTTGGAAGTGAATGGTGGGAACATAGCGTACTAATTATGATGCAAAAATAATGTATAATTCACATGTAACTTATTACTTAACTCTTTACTGTTGTAACTGATCTCCCCATTTTGCCTGAATTTATTTCTAAAATCACTCATATTTTTACGGTGACATTTTCTAAAGACACGGAACACAAACATGCATCCCACAAGCATAACATTGGTATCATTTTAAAGGTAATAAAATTTATGGTGTCGCTTTGTATGTTTGTCAGAATGTTTTGCATGTTATTAGGTGAGAAAGTGACAAATCTGATTTTTTAAAAATAAACATTTTCATCAGTAACACCTGATTCAGACCAATCTAAATCCTGATCGTAATCAGCATCTGAAGAGTCTAACACCATATCAGCAGCTTCAAATGCGTCTGTAAAACTAGCTGGGAGCTTTCTCTTACTGGCATGACTACGCTCCATCACGCTTCTGTTATTTGACATCTAATTTGCCTTCTAATGGGGTCAAAACGCATCTCCTTCCGTCCAAATTTTGAGCGAAATGGATAAACTACCGTAGTTGCCAAAAATAGGAATGTTGTAAAATAAAAACTACCTAAAAATGAGTACGATGATGCAAAATGAGACATGTCGTAAATCAACACTCCCATCATCACTCCGACGGTAAAGAGATAAGATGCAAATGTAACATACAACTTGTTATTTGAAATTAAATGTAGCCTAACTTACAACTTATGACATGAATGTAATGCACAACTTATGATGTGGATTATGCAGATCTAACATGTGACTTTGATGAGAATTTAACTTTTAATTTTTCATGTGAAAGATGCAAATGTAACACACGACCAATAATACGAATGTACTGTTCAGCTTATGACGTGGATAATGCAAGTATATCACATAACTTTGAAGCTAATATCACCTGTGACCGTAACAAGAATATAATGTCCACCTCCCCCTCCCCACCCCCTGGCCCCACTTACCACCAACATCCGGTGTCTGTCCTTTCTGTGGTCAGTGTCTGTCCCAATCTCAAAGTCCAGCGACTTGGTGGACAGCGTCTTGTCCGGCGTGGCACGTCGCAGGCCAAATTTGTCGTGCAGGACCAGGTCAGACCTACAAAGGGGTGGAGATCAAAGGTCAAAACAAAACGACCATGTTTGACCTAAAAGGGGCAAAAGTCAAATGTGTGGCATCATGCAAGGTGAAGTCAGGCACTTGTCAAAATAATGAAAATGAAAGGATTCGACATTTCTCCAGCCATTGGATTATTTTTACCTTTTGTTTTTATTCAACACCCCTTAAGTCCATTTTAAAATATTTTTTTTCTGTATGTATTTTACTAAAAAAAACATTGATGGAAGGCACAACAAATATAAATTTATAATTTCCAAGGACACTCAATCTCTTGTAAATTTTTCAACTCTCAAAAACAAAATCCTCACTGCTTAAACTCTTAGAGTGCAACAAATTATCAGCTCCTTGTTAGAGGATGTAAAAAAAAGCAAAAATGTATAAGCACTTGGTACAAAAAGTAGTCCCACATGCTTTTACTCTACATGTATTTGTAGTGCATACATCGGTGATTTTCTTTACATTTTCTGATAAGGTACTGATAAATTGCTGCACTTAAAAAGTTCAAGTGATAATTTTTTTTACAGTTGAAAAATTCACAAGAAACCAATTATACGGTTGACAGCATAACAGCATCAAAATGTAACAAGTCATTAGCAGGTCAATTAGATCTACAACATGACCAGGTCTGACCTACACAGTGGCAAAGTCAAAGGTGACAGATAATCAGCGGGAGGACACGGTCTAGTTTCTACGGTCCTCTGCTCATACCGACGGAAAAGACAGGAGTACTACAAGCACAAGATACACAATTGATAATACTTAAATAATAAATAGCATCAGCATACAACAACAGCAAGCTCTATGCGCTTTACCATCTACATTATTACCAGGGCGAACCCTAGAACACTCAGAAACATTCTCAGTTTACCGGGAAGCATACAGTGAAAGCAGCCAACTAAGTGGTCTAAGATTTAGTAACCAGCATGATCTTTTACTAAAGTCTAAAGTTGAATACCCATTCTCACCCGGGAGGAGTGAGAAAAATTTGTGTTAAGTGCCTTTCCCAAGGACACAGCGTGAGGCCCCTAATGGTGTTCAAACCCACAACCTTTTGTTTTCAAGCCCAAAAGTATAATCACAAAACCATTGATGTCACAAATGATACATTAATTACATATGTGGTACACTGTATATGGAGTGATCAGTATAATCTAAAACCATGCTCTTTGATCTTGCTTTTGATGAAAGAAATACCCATCTATCTTGAATAGAAGCCGAGATATTTGCATTCGATTGACTTCCATAGCTTGAAAGTTCTTTGAAACAACAACAAAAAAATTTTTGTGCCATTAATCTTTTTCTTCAGTAGAATCCACACAAAAATGTGTTTTTAAAAGGAGATAAAATGTATTAAGCCAAAAACAAAAATTGAGCGTGTGTGTGTGTATGTGTGTGCGTATGTGTGCGTGCAGGCAGGCGCATGCCTGTGCGTGTGTTTTTGTGTGTGAGTGTGTGTGTGTGTGTGTGTGTGTGCGTGTGTGTGTGTGTGTATGTGTTTGTGTTTGTGAGTGTGTGGGTGTGTGTCTGTATGTGCATGTGTCTGTACATGTGTAAAGGTGCGCACATGTGAGTATGTATATTTGTGTGTGTAGGTTAGTGTGTCTGCGTTTGACGTGTGTGCATGCATGCACTGGAAATGCTGATATATATAT